ATACTGACTTGATCGTCGGAGTGCTCACCTTTTTGTGCAGGTCCGCCCAAGTGTTCAGATCGGTCCGGAGACCGAGTTCGAGCTGTAATCAGAAATACACTGTTGTGCATATCCTTACATAAACATACCATAAAAAGAATAGAATGTTCCTTTCGCAGAAAATATATATTCAAACAAGTAACAAAAGAGAAGTCGTGCAATTTATCTTTGAGGGCTCAAATCCAACAAGCGTAGAAGGCTTGCAGAAGTTATATGGGTGCAAAAATCATATGGCGCTCACGCTACTGCGCTAGTAAGCCTATTTATTAATATATTTTTAATGTGCAAAACAAAGTGGAATTTACAGATATTGATAACAGTTGAGCATTTACGAATTTAAGATCAAAAATTAAATTTGTAACTATTAAATGTTGTGAATATTGTTTTACATTTTGTTTATCAATTTCTTATTTATTTGTTTAGTTATGTTGTTTCTTTTTTTGGTTAAAATTGAAGTTATGTATTAAATGAACATGTGTTTCTTAATTTTGTTAAAATTACATATGGAAAACAGTTACAATGTGTTAAAAATTAATTTTTGTTTGAGGGGTTACACATTTGTAAACCTATAATAATTGTGGTTTTCTCCATTTGAGATATGCAAGAATTAATATCACAATTGGATTTTTTTCTCCTCTCACAAGAATTCTCTCTTCTTTCATCTTGTTGTTTATATTTGTCTTGAGAGCAAGTGTCTTGAAGTTGCATGTGGGATTGAACAGGTCTCCTCTAGGGATCAAAGCAAAGATGCAACCTTTGCGGAAGCAGAAACTCTCCTGCATGGCCTCTAATAAAGTTAGTTGTTGTATTATGTTGAACCGTCACTCTAGCATGCTAGCAACTTGTGCAGAGTTTGTCTTTGAAGTAAAAACTACTATTGAAGTATGCCTCAATTACATTTAATCAAGTTTTGTTTTTAGTCAAGTTATCAAAGATCTATAATTATTTGTAGCCAGTTATGTTATCATCTATTTGTCAGTACTACACAGTTTATATATACAACACTGTATGTATCCAATATTTATAAATTTTGATGAACCATATTACTCTTTTTTTTTTCTCTCTCTCTTCTTCTCTCATGTAGTCAGCCAAATAGAGTAAGAGAGAGGTTTTTCATTTTTTTCCTCTCTTATAAAAGGCTTACATGGTTCACAATCATAGCAAAGGAAGATATTTTGAAGTGATTGCATCTCGATTTAGAATAGGAAGTCTTCTAAATACAAGTGTTACTTAAAAAACTAGTATATCTTTAGAGATACGTGGGATGCACGTAAAATTTCGTAGTTTAAGTACTTAAAACATAATATTTAATTAAATAGTTAAAATATTAAATACAATTCGGTTCTTTTCTCTCTCTATGCTTACTTCATCAATACTTTCAGCTTTTTTTTTCTTTGTATCTAACACAAAAGTGACATGTTGATTTTTGCCCAATGTGACATCAATAATTATGTGTTTATTGTAAAAAGAAAACATATAATTTTATTAATTGTTAAACAAGTCACGTGCACTCCTTACAAAAATAAGATCGAGATGTGAGGGGGAATGGTAAAGCTTAAAAATTGTTATATATATACTTTTTTTTATAAAAAGCTTAAAAATTATTTAATTAAATATAAAAATAAAAAGTAAACCTGATTTTGAAAACTACTAATTTTAAAATATAATACAGTATTAAGTTTTATAAACAAAATTGAAATGTCAAAGCGAGCATACCTCGACGGTAATTGACATATACGTCCAACCAAGAGGTTGCAAGTTCGAAGTCCCTCCAAAGGCCCTGTGCTGGAGCCTGCTGCACCTGTGACTCAGTTTTAACCATGCCTTCACAAAATTAGGAGTAAACACGTTCGGTATCTCGAGAGAGAGTCATGCCTGTTTGGACATTCAATATTCATAATTTAGTTAAGCCTCCCCCACTGCTCTACTTGCGTAATAAACAGGATGTACGGGCTTCTCTTTTCGTTGTCCCAACATTGCACCTACAACGTAATCACTTGCGTTCGCACATGACTTCAAATGACTTTGTCGAATCTGAATCTCTCATGATGGGTGCTTTGATGAGGGCCTCCTTGAGTAAAGTGAACGCGAGCAAGCAATCATAAGAGAAGTAAAATATTTTATCATTCTCAAGTAAAGAATAAAGTGGTTTTGAGATTTTATAAAAATCCTTGACACATCTTCTATAAAATCCAACATGACAAGGAAAACTTCTTATGTCCTTGATTGAGGTTGGTAGTGGCAACTTCTCTGTTACTTCAATCTTGGCTTTGCCAACTTCTATTCCCTTCTTTGACACCTTATGCACAAGCACTATTCCTTCTTGTACCATGAATTGACATTTCTCCCGATTCAAGACAAGGTTAGTGTCTTCACATCTCTTCAACACCTTCTTCAAATTTGCTAAGCATTCATTAAAAGTTGCTCCAAAGAAAGAGAAATCATCCATGAAGACCTCAACCACATACTCTAACAAATGTGCAAATATAGGCATCATCCAACGTGGAAAGTTGCTGGAGCATTGCACAATTTGAATGGCATCATTCTAAATACGAAGGTACGATGTGGACAAGTGAAAATGGTTTTCTACTGATCTTGAGGTGTAATGGTGATCTGATTATATCCGCTATACCCATCCAAGAAGCAACGTACTCTTGTTTTCCAAACGATCAGACATTTGATCTATGAAAGGTAGTGGAAAGTGTTCCTTCTTGGTTGCCTTGTTCAATTTCCTATAGTCCATGCATATAAACCATCCCGTGACAATTCTTGTTGGAATCAGCTCATTGTTCTCATTTGGAACCACTGTTTTTCCTCATTTCTTCCACACACACTGCACTGGACTTACCTAATTACTATCAGCAATAAGGTAAATTATCTCAGCATCGAGCCACTTGATAACTTCTTTCTTGACTACTTTCTTCATGGCCAAATTAAGCCTCCTCTAATGCTTGATCGAATTCTTATGGCCCTCATCTAGGTGGATTTTGTGCATGTAGTAGCTTGGGCTAATGTCTTTTATATCAACAAGTGTCCATCATATGATTATTTTATAGTTCTACTGTGCAGACAGCAGTTGAGATTCCCTTTATGTAATGAAGTTTGCAACAATGATTATAGGTAATGCTTCAGCATCAACTAAGTAACAGTGCTTTAAATGATAGGGTAGAGTTTTCAATTCCAACTACAACGGAGGGTTTTAATGGTTCTTGGTCTCGTTCTTCTAATTCAAGTAACTCGAAAGTTCTTTTGAAAAGCCTGTCTTTCTGGGCCTTACTTTCCAAATAGTGAATCAAGTCCTCAGGCTCCTCCCCCTCTGAGTCATAATCCATTGCATATTCATTCTCTAAATGTGCAACTAAGGTTTCCTTTTAAAGCTCATCTATCAGTAAGTCATACACAATTCTTAAGGCAGAGCATTCCTCCACATCAGCATGACATTTCATTGAGTTAAACAAGAAAAAATCACATGTTGGTAATTCACTCTCATGGTAAACTCTCCTTTTTGAACATCATACTCTCCTTGTAACCAAGAAAGGTCTTCCCAAAATAATTGGGATTTCTTTGTCTTCTTTATAGTTGATATTTTGGGATTTCTTTGTCTGCTTTATAGTTCAGAATAATAAAGTCTGATGGGAAAATAAACTTGTTTACCTACAATAATACATCTTCAATTTTACCTTCATCATGTGTAATTGATTTGTCTGCCAGCTGTAGGGTCACAGTGGTAGGTTTTGCTTCACCAATGCCCAATCTTTGGTACACTGACCGTGACATAAGATTTATGCTTGCACTCAAATCGCTCAGTCCTTGACCCACGTTCTTCCTCCAATAGAAACTGTGATTGTGAAGCTTCCTAGATCCACCATTTTCTGTAGAAGCTTGCTCGTTAAAATTGCACTGCACTCTTTTGTTAATGTCACTGTCTCGAACTCTCACAACCTCCTCCTCTTAGTCAAGACATCCTCCAAAAATTTCACATAGTTGATGTAAAGTTGTTTCAACACATCCAAATATCGTTTAAATTGGACATCTTGATTCTTCTTTTGAAGACTTTGTGGGTAGGAGGTGGGGGTTTGTATTACACTGTTATTTCCATCCTTTTTTGGACTAGTGCTTTCTTTGACTTCTTAACTACTTGTTCTGTTACTGCTGCCCTTTCATCTTGTCTTGTTTCTGGTTCAGACTGACTCTTTGTATCTGATGGTTGCTTGCTTCAGCATCATTCACTCTCGTACCAACTAGAGGCAAATTTTCTACAAGATCTTTTGTATCAGTTTATGTGTTGTCTGCTACAGCTTTACTGATGGCCATACACTGCCCATTCCCTTCTTTTTTTGGATTCTCAGTCTTACTTAGTAATGTGCCAAGTGGTCTATTTTTCAACTTAGCTGCCATCAATCCTAATTGAACTTCCAGATTTCATAGTCATGTAGCTTAAATTTGGCATTGTTCTTCGTCATGTAGTCTTTAATCAAGCTCTTGATAACTCTCCAAAAGAGAGTTATTTTAGTAAATAATTGGGTTAATTCGTGCATTAATGTGAGGATCTTTATCTAAGAAGCATGCTAAAGTGAGGAATTGAGCAGAAAAGTTAATTATCATATGCTAAATCATCAAGTTGCTGAATTTATGCAAATTCTTGCTTGTTTCCCCTATTTTTTGGTTTATTTGTGCAGAATTTGGAGAAGTTGTTGAGGAGCAGTAGAATGCCAGAATTAGAGAAGAAATGTCGGAGAATTTTTGTGCCAGAGCATGTTAATGTTGGAGCATCGTTTTCTGCAGAAATTCTTAGGAAGCACAGTAACACGCATGATTTTTATTTATGTTCGTACAACGCATGTTTTACTGAGTTTTGCCCTAGTTTTCGGGAGAGCTATAAAAGCAACAATATGTGGGTTGTCTCATTATCAATCCTCAAGGGGGGAATCGATCCAAAGAGAGAAAATACTCAAAAAATGGTGCTGAAGTCGAGGAGAGCATACCCATTTCGTGGAAGAGCTGATGTCAGGGAAGAGCTACTGCTGCCGTTGCGTGCTGGTGGTCTCCATCTACATTTTTCTCTTTTTCTCTAGAATGGATTGTATCTTTCCCTTACCCATTTCGTTTTCCCTTTTCCCCGTGAACTAGACTCCATTTTGGGGAGATTTATATGCTGTAACTTGATACTAAACCTTTAGCTGCTACATCTATTTTTAAATAAAGCTGTTTATATTTCTTGAATCTGGCGTAACATTGTTGGCCGCTATGTCCTGTTTGCTAGCTTCTTTATTGACCCGGGAGGGCTTATGGGTGCTGACTTGTATTATTTGTGATTAGCGCTTTTTTATAGCTTTAGGGATACTCAGGAATGGGGTCTCATAATTATGCCTATAGCTTGTGTTTATTGCTTGGGTATTTAGCAATGGAAGTTGTACTTACTCATGTTTGGGGTGTCTCGGAAGGGAACCAAGTCGAGCTGGACACTAATAGATGTTAGTGAGCTAGAAGGTAGGTTGATAACTGGTGAAAGTATGTTGAATCTCCCACTGTTTCCCCATATCTACCTCTCATCGCATTTTGTGCCAATGCATTTCTTTGCCCCAGCATCTATTATTATAGTTTTTATCTCTTGGATTTCATTTCTGCATTTTTAACGTATTTTACTTAGTTTAATTAAACAACCACTATTATCTTTTATTTGCCTTTTATGGTATTCTTAAGTACACGCTTAGAGTGACATCCTTAGTCTTTGTGGATACGACCTTCTTTATACTACAATCGGCGAGAATAGTGTACACTTGCACTTGCATTCACATCGCTTGTAGACACGCAACAAGTTTTTGGCACCATTGTTGGGGACTAAGCTATTTTACTTTAAGTTATTTTGCTTAAGAATACGATGTGTAAAGAGTTTCCTTAGCCATATTTTGGTTGCTTTGTAGGACGATGTATTGTTTCCAAGGATTAGAATTTCTGCTTGATGACCAAATTGAAAAAACGCCTCATAGGAGGAGAAATGAGCAGAGAATACAAGAGCAAAAAGAGATGAAGCTGCAAGCACCAAGTATGGTAGTTGAGGAAATACATGAGGAAGAGGTTGCTAAGGCAGCAGCAAACCCTCCTCTAAATGCTATCCTGTAGCAGATGATAGGGATAGAGTAGTAAGCGCATACCGACTCCAGCATTTTATAACTTTAATCCAGCTATAGTGGAGCCAGATATAGATGCTGATGAGTTTGAGCTTATCCCCGTAATGTTTCAAATGCTCCAAACTGTGGGACAGTTTGGGGGTCATGAATCAGAAGATCCTCTCTTCCATCTGAGATATTTCTTGGAGGTCAGCAATTCATTTAAGATCAGGGGAGTAACGAAAGAAGCATTGAGGTTGAAATTATTCCCATTTTCTATGAGAGACAGTGCAAGGATATGGTTGCACTCCCTAGCATCAGAATCCATCACTACATGGAATGAATTGGTAGAAACGTTTTTGATAAAGTATTTTCCACCGAGCAAAAATGCAAAGCTTAGAGTGACATCAATAACTTTCAGCAGTTTGTAGGGGAATCTGTGAGCGAACCATGGGAGAGGTTTAAGGGGCTTTTGCAAAAGTACCCATACAATGGTATTCCCAAGTGTATTCAGATCGAGACTTATTATGTTGGGCTGAATGAAGCTACGAAGTTAGTGGTGGATGGATATGAAAATGGAGCTCTCCTATCGAAATCGTATGCTGAAGCATTCAACATTCTTGAACGAATCTCATCTAACCATCAACAATGGTCGAACCCAAGATCAGCTGTGGGTAAAAATTCAAGAGGAATGCATGATGATGATGTGCTAACTTTGATAAGCACAAAGATCTCAAATATGGTGGACATGATGATGAAGAATATGTCTAACGCTGGAGCATCTAATGCCAGAGCTGAAGTTAGCAGTGTCCAAGCAATTTCATGCTCCTATTGTGAAGGAGAGCACCACTTTGATCTATGCCCATGGAATCCAACGAATGAAAATAATTCCTACTCCAACATATACAACCCATCGTGGGGGCAACAACAAAATTTTGGATAGGGAAGAAACCAATGTGGACAGGGTCAGTCAGGGCAATATAATGCTCCAGCATTCCAACAAGAAAAATTTTCCCCAGGATTTTTCAAAGTTGAGCAACATCAACCTGCCAAGCAAGCTGCAAGTTCATCAAATTCTTTGGAAGGCCTGATTAAAGCTTACATGGCTAAGAATGAGACCACCATTCAAAATCAAGCGGCTACCATTCAAAATCAAGTAGCTATGATTCAGAGTCAAGCGGCCTCTTTAAGAAATTTAGAAACTCAGATGGGGCAAATTGTAGAAGAACTAAGAAAGCGATCGCATGAAGCTCTCTCAAACGATACTGAGATACTCAATAGAGAGGAGAAAGAACAATGTAAAACTCAAATATTTACGAGTGGTAACACATTTCCTCCACCAAATCCCACCCTTCAAGAGAAAGAGAGCGCCCAAGTTAATGCAGTAATAGAAATTCACAGTCAAATTCAAGAAACTACAAACAAGCTGCATCAGAAGAATATCCATGAGAGCATTGCTGGAGCATTGGTCGAAATTGAGCCAAAAGAAGCATCAAGTTTGGAGGTTGAAGAACAAAAGAGAAATCAATTTGAAAGGATATTTGAATCATTGGAGTCAGGAAGGGAACAATTCAGCCCAATGAAACCATTCAAGAAGGAAGCACCGAGGTTCGAATTTCAAATACTCCCACAACAATTTTATATCTACGGAGTAGTTCAAGTCAAGAGGGTTCTTCTGATGCTGATGATACCTCCTAAGAGGAAGAAGAAAAAGAAGAAAAAAAAAAATGAAAAGGGGAAGTATATTAATTTTCAAATCAATTTCATTCTCCTTACCGTTTGCAATGTTTGAAGTTCTTTAATGTTGTTTTTATTTGTGCTTTAATTGATAATTAGGTAAGTTTTAGTTTATTAGAAGTTTTTGAATCTTTTGTTTCAGGAAAGAATTAAAAGCATAATGTGGAATTGGAATTCTATGGGAAGCAATAGGAAGCATGCTAAAGCAGGCATGATGCTGGAGCATCGATTTCAAACAAGATGATCCAGCATTAATGAAGAATTTGAAGAAGACGACGTTTGAAAATGGGAGTTAATTTCCTCTTACTACTACTTAA